TTGAGCACGCAGGTGGAGCAACTGAAGTTGGCTCGCGCTAGCTGGAGCGTTACATCTATCGATCGCAAGAGTGGCGTGGGGAGGCCTTCGTCCGGTGGTGGACTGACCATGGCCGATGACGACGAGTTTTAAAAATAGCCGCTGAATCTTTGCCGGTGTGCTTCCATAAATCGTTGCATAGTGCGTGCTGACCACTGCCTTCCTTCGTGACCACGAGGGTTTGTAAAAGCCACACCCAAAGCTTAATGGGGCTCTTTAGAAGCCCCCCGAGCGATACTAAGCATCGCTCGTCTCGTCGCGCCCACGTGACGAGGGACGTGTGCTGCTGTGAAGAGGAAGGGAATGGCTCTACATGTCATACATACATAAACTCATCATACATATGTGGCGAAATAGAATGGGTCGCTACGGCGCATAGCGCTGTTTACTGACAGAGAGGGGAATTGTGGGTGGAGCAGCCGATCTGCCAGAAGAGCATGCAATGCCATGGAATGGGTCACTCGGGTGCATAGCGCTGGTTGCTGGCAGAGAGAGGGCATCTGAGGACGTAGAAGCCTGGCCGGCTAACAGGGCACGTGATAGGCCGGGGTAACGGATGTAGGGCAAAGGTGACAGAGGGGACACGTGGGGTATAGCCCAGAACCTTCTGGTAGGTTCCAGAAGTGGGCGTGGCCGAGGGTGGAGCCAGGCCACGCTGGAGGGCATAAAAGGGAGGTCCCGAGGCTGAATCGGGGCTGTCGTTTGGAATGGAACCCGTCGTGCTGCGTCTTCATCTTTGTCTCCTCGGCGTCGTGGGTCAGGCAGCGTGCCGGCTGTCCTAACCTGTCTGTAGTTATCCCGTGTGTGAACAGAAGTGTTTAAGTGTAGAATAAACGTATGTGCCTCCCACTATTAGTGTCTCCGAAGTGACTCATTACACATACGTAAACCCATCATGTATGCATAAGCTCATTTCTTTCTTTAGAAATGATTTTTGTCTTTTGTTTGTTGTCCTTCCCCCGCATCTCCGATTGGCGCGATTGGCTACGTATGGTGGCGAAAGAAGTTCAATGTGTGGTACATACACACAGGGTCAACGGCTCGGGGGAACTTTCAAAACAACGTAGATGATGCAATCATAAAAAGGGGATATCACAAGAGACTCAAATGAAATCGGGGTTATCGGTCGGCAGTGAGGGAGAGGGGAATGGAGAGGGGAGGGGGTGCAGAGGGTGTGGAGGAATCCTCTCAAACCCTCACCAACGCATCCGTTGCATCTCAACTCGATTGCTGCAACTTCCTTCTCCACGGCCTCGCCGCCAAATCACTTTAACAGCGGACTGACTCCAGATGGTCCAGAATGCCACTGCCAGATCTGTCACCCACGCGCGTAAATGACACCATACCACTCCCTGATACGCCAATCTCTCCATTATTGCGAGGTGGACTCGCAATAATGCCTCATTACTTTTCAGCCCCCGCCCAGCTACGACCAGGCCTAACCCAACCCCTCCCCTGATCAATCCCTCCTCGTTCTACCGTCGTTAAAACTTCACCATCGCTCACAATAACCCACTCCTTCATTTCAAATCATCATCCTATGTGCAATTCCATAATTGCTCCAAAGCGCCTTGAAGAAAGGTGCTATGTAAATATTGATGAGATGTCAAGGATTGTCATGTGTGTATGCTGAACTTCTTTTGCACCGTACGTAGCCAACTGTGATAATTTGGAGGCTCTCATAGATCTTGAACAAAAGTTAATTAGAATCACATGCGTAAGAATGTCGTGGTGTTTCCGACTCACGTACGATGTGTGTGTGTGTCATGTGATCACGTGGCCGCCGCAGCTACTCGCGGGCCACTAATTTCGCCAAAATGCTGAACAAAAATAAACAATTATTTAATTGAATCGCGACCCTAAGACGTGACAGTCCATCAAGTCGCGAGGGCATGAATTGAATTAACCCAGAGTTCTCAGTCAAATCATCTTTACATGTTTAGCGCGTGAGCTCCACCCCTCAAGCCGCCAAATAATAATTCCGTCGGCAGCCGTCACTGGCACCTCCACTGCCCAATTTTGAAGTCTTCTTCTTCATGACACCCCAATATTGTCGAACCTCCCAGATAGAATCTGAACCATTTGTCATTCTAGGCAAATAAAAGTACTCCGTCAATTAATTTCAATATGCTCACACCAACTGTACTATTTTTATGTTTTACTTAAAATGCGTAATAACGGGCATGTACTATGAAAACATAAGAATAGGCTGTATCTTTTCTGGCAATACGATAGGCGTTAAGATGTTCAAACAACCAATAGAAACCTTTTACAAGTTATCAAGTCTGCATTAACCACACAATACTTGTGGTGAACATGCAAACAAACATGCTCTGATAATATATGGCACTGTCTTTGAAACTGATTGGCTTAAACAGCCTTCTTTAGAGCCCCATCTCAGCAGTGTCGGACCAGAGGACAACGCCAAAAGGCGAACAGTACAAAGACAATGCACGTATCAGAGCACTGAAAGCTCGGAGTGAGCAGCTGTATCATGTACTACCACCAATGGGGTAATATTGTGATGATGGCCAATTGTCAAGAACAGTGATGGAGTGGCTGCCAATGAATGAAATGCATCCAAGTGGACGTCCGCCGGGCCAGATGGAATGAAGAAATCAGCTCGTGAGCCAGGTGGCTATGCAGTCTGTTGCATCGCAGAACCGTGACCTGGGGAAGGCCCTCATCCAGCAGTGGATTGATTGTGGCGGATTACGATGATGGTGAGGATGACTTGCTAAATGTGGAAGCCACTGGGCTTGGATTGCGACTCTCTGTGTTAATCCCTACTTTGGTAGTTTTACTTTAAATTGCATTGCCCAGATGGATGAATGTAACGGAAACGTGCACGAAAAAAAACATGCTGACTCTCTTATATGTAATTTATGCCCGTACCCATAATTGTGCCCCAAAGAGCCGGGGGCCTAATTATCCATGGAAATGCCAACAAAAACAGGCACAAACCATTACCAAGCCACAGCCGTTTAACCCTTTCGTCTCCGTTGCCCACACGTACCCAACCATTCCCTGTAATACCCTTGTGCTGTCTAGCCTCGCAGACCGGAGTGTTGTGCTGTTAGCGAGCCCCTATTAGGCCAGGGCAGTACATCACCCGGTGCTGACATTGACACACACGAGTCCCATAACCAGGTAATCATTGAATGTTAAGTCAACCAAGGGGTGGCCCAGGACTGGTTTAGATATCACTGACCACTGGTGTTAGCCGGTGGTAGCCAGGTAAAAAAAAACAAATCAGACCACTGGTTTCATAGGGCACATGGCTCTCTGCTCTGCACGTTACAAAAGACAAGATATACGGCCCACCTCGCCCCAAACATCCACAGAATGTAATGACAAGCGCTGTTAATGAGCACCTATAAAGGTCGGCACAACACACAAGGCGGACGGTGTTGCCAGCACCACGCCTGCGCCGCCTTTGTCTCCCAAGTACTTAAGGCTTACACCATTGCACCACTTACTAATTTTGAGGCTGAGTCGACCTAGTGGAAGCCCAGGCCAGATATCACACACCGCCGATGTCAGTTGCGATCGCGGATCAAACTCGGCTCGCCGGGTTCGCAGCGCGGCGCGCTAACCACTGTGCCACCGCTCCCAATCCTCCACATACGCACAACCCCACCGCGTCTCCTCCTTCTCGTGAGACGTGGCCAAACGCAGCACCGAAAACGGACCGAATCTCCCCTCGGTTTTGACGACGCTCGCAGAAGGCAGTGGCTAAGGGTGACTCGTTGATCCCACCCGGGGGGATGGGGGCGGGGGGAGAGGTCGTCCCTGCTTGGTTGTGAGTTTAGCCGAGAGCAGGGCCACATGACAGACGCCGAGTGAGGCACAGGCCTACACCGACGCTTCGAACCCAGGGCCCTCGGCGGGGCGAAAGCGTCGTACGGAACCGCGAGCTTAACTATTGACAGCCTCGCTGACGCCCCTGCGATTAATATTGCATGGACGTGCCTTGGGAAAGGATGGCCCTTCGCGGCAACGTTCGTTAGGGTGTTTCTTGCTGCAGAGATACAGTGGCGACAATTGTCTTCGTCATCATTGTTATTACATGAGTGTATATTTAGTTTATAATTTCGTTCCACGTGTGTATTTTTAAACGTTTTATTTCCCTGCCAAACAAAATAGGAACGCGCAACGTCTCCCGGAGTGTGTGCTTGCTGCTCGCGCATGAACGGAGCTAAATCAAAGGGCACACGTGTCATTACTCTTCTGCCCTCGTCCCCAAGTATTAAGGATCTATATTGAATACGTTCGTGATAAAGTGTGGAGGGTTTTTCAAGTCGAATGTTTGCAAAAAAATATTTGTTTCATCACGACTGTGCCACTGGTAACGAGACGGAGTTTCAAAGTCGGATCTCTTGCAGAGCAGCCCTTCACCTCTGAACTGCCCACGGAAGTGGATACTACAGAAATACCTCTGAGATGCCTTCAAGTGACGGCTGTTCCATATATTAGGCAACAACACTTTCCCACCTGCCCTGCCATTGAGAATAATGTTCATCACATGGCGGTTTCATTATCAGAGCTATAAATTAATGTAATTAAGTTTAGAACCAAATTTATTGTGATGGTTTTTTTTTAATGTGCAGTCGTTTGTATAACTGGGATGATACCATCAACTTACGGCACTTGAGAACCTGGTTTTCAATCACACATGGCTGAATCCTGAATGCAAACAAACCTCAGATCACAATTGTACTAAGTCGGTGCACCGATCTCTGTTTTAAAATGTCAAAGGACGTCTGCCCGATCACCCGATGACAGGCAATGTTTTCTCAGGCTCAGGAACCCTTAAGAACCCGGCGTTAATCACAAGTGGCTGCCTGGATTTCAAACCCAGGATCCTCAGCGTCACCAGCTCAGCGCTCAACGCTCTGATCTCTGAGCCACCGGCCGGGCCAACCCTGACGAATAAATCACAAAGTGCATCAAGGACTTACCGGTGCATTTCTTGGCGTGCACGGTCTGTCTTGCTCCGTGGCGGCTCAGCCGGCATTTGAAGTTCTCCTCCCAGAACTCGGCGAACCAAACGTTCCTCCTGTTGTTCTCCAGCGTACGGGACGTGAAGTATTTGTCGAACTCTGCAGGTGCGAGAGGTCGGACAACGCGGAGGTTTGCTCGGCGCCAGCCAATATCACTCACGGTGGGTCAGGGGGGTTATTGCTCATCCGGTCTATTAGGCGAATATTGCTCGGAGGGGCAGCCATGCCAGTAAAACAGCAAGGGGGTGGGGGGGAACGGGGTCAAGAGGAATAATAATAGTTAGAGCGGTTCTGTCGTTGCAAAACGAGCGGTCGGGTGTCGAATTTTATGATCCCAGGGAGCGTCGTCGCGAGTGTGCTACCCCTGTGAAACACGGGCGCGCGACGGTGGTGCAGTCGGGTGAAATACATTGCAATCGATGGTCGAACGAAGCAAATTATTTGGCGACGCTGCCGCTATGGCAGCAGAGCGCAGGAACAGTTAACGACGAACACAAACTCAACACGCTCGTCAACAACACTGCCTCGTGATAAAAATATATATATATGAAATCGATGGCGTTTTGCGTGATGGCCCCCATTCGTGGCACATAAACCCGGGGTGCGCATAGCGCCATGCGTGGGTGTAAAAGAGGCAAAACAAAATGCTGTGATCGGGACAAAATGAACTGGGGTACGTTTCAAACGGGACGTTAAAGCTGAGACAAAATTGAATTAATTATTTAACGAATTACTGTACGACCCCAAGGGTGGTGGGTGGGGGGGGCAGTATTACGTAGATGACCTCACGAAGCATACGTAGCCTGCAAGATATTATTGTCTTGTGAGCATAGAAAATTCAAGGCAAGCAAAAAATGACAATACAACTGTTTAAATGATGAATGTAGACGTATTATATGGCAATGTATAATAAAATCCAACCAATCGTAGCCTGGCCGGTGCGAAGTTTGAAACGTTATTTAATTCGGAGCGAGTTTGCGTGCCGCATATTGAATTGTGTGCGCAATCTGACGTGGCTTACGGAACAACCAAGAACCAAACGGGGGTTGATACTCCAACTCTTTTGAAAAATGAGCGGCCCTATAATTAGTGTGTGGAAATACAGCTCCAACCCCATACTCCATTTAGAATCCACACGGTAATGTGCTCTGGAGGTTGTATTGATTTCTTCCTAAAGTTTCCCCATCAACAGTGGAGGTGTGCAATGCATCCGCAGTAATGCGCTACCGTATCCACACCCACTGTGGTGAAAATTGTGAAATCTAATTACAGCTACTGGCGGTGGCAGTAAAAGAAAGAAAATAACCTGTGCCGGATTCACTCGAACACGGAGCCGGGGTTTTTATGGCTGGCCCAGGTGTGTGGCAGAAGAACCATCGACGCAGCCAAGAGATACACAGAACACCTGGTGAGTCCAATTCACAGTGGCTAACTCGGCACGCGCTCCTATTTGATACAAACACCTGTGTGCATGGCTTACTGCTGTTCAACTAAACTCTTAAGGGCCGAACGTTGGGGGGGGGGGGGGGGGGGGTGTAACGATACGATCGATGATTCACCAATTAAAGCACGGTTTGATGCTCACGACACATTCATTGAATCGTGTGCATGGGAGAATTCTCTTTTTATTCATTGTATTCATTGCCCCGCACTGAAAGTGTTCCGTGCAGGGTGGGGCGGTGGCGCAGTGCTTCACGTGCTGCAATACGAGCCCGGCCAACCGAGTTTGATTCCCAGCCATGGCTAACATCATTGGCACGTGATATCTGAACCGGTCCTGAGCCCCCATCCCTCTTCACCAACCAGCGTGGTGAAGTATGGTGAAACAACCCCCCATGAGCAACGTGGCGTGAATTGATAACGAGCTATACACGTGTATAAGTGACCCCTTCAGCCACTGGAGGTGCTAATGTTGATCACAATATTAGACGAATTTTTTAAAACAATAATAAAAATATTTTTCTTTTTTCGAATCACTATCCCAAATCATGAGAATTCATCAAATCGCGGGGGGCTAGAATGGGTGGGATGGGGGGGGGGGGCGGCTGCAAATTTTCACAGGCCAAAAACATTGTATTGCCCTGCAGTATGTATGTATGTACGTATGTTGAACTTATTTCGCCACTTGGAGGTGCGGGATTGTCCATTCATACGGCCATCCGGTCAAGGTGCAGTGCACCGGGAGACCGTGCCTAAGGTTCCGTCTGAGCGTCCCTACCGGCCACGGAGGCGCGCTTGGGCAGGATGGTGATGGCGCCCTCCGCTTCGTCCTCCTGGTTGCGAATGGGGGCGATCTTGGAGCCCCAGCTGTCCGACGCCACCCACAGGAAGTGGCCCGTTTGGTTCGCACGCCGAGTGGCCTCCAGGAGCCGTCTGCGGCCGAGGGAGGTGGGCGTGGGGGGCAGGGGGGGGGGGGGCCCACTGGGGTAGGTGTGGGGGTTGGATGTCAGACGAGCGGTGATCCCCGGCCATGTAATAGGAGGTGGCGAGGTATTTGAAGCCACAATACCTCGCTGAGCTCGTCAAGGAGCAAAAATCATTACGTGAACTCCGGTGGTCATCCTCGCAGCAGCGACGGCTTTTGGCTAAACCATCGAACAAAGGCGGTAACCGCATCGCGCGCTTGGAGATGCGTTTCTGCGGCAGTCTGGAATGCTCTTCCTTCTGATATTAGAAGGCCACTGGAGCTATGCACTTTTAAATCATCATCTAGATTGAAAACTCATTTCTTTAGAACTGTTTTTTGTGTTTCGTTTGTTGTTATTCCCCACAACTTTGTGGGGAAGTTAACAGTGGGTGACCTATGCAGACAACCCATCCCTGCCGTAGGAATGGGAATTTTCCACCACTGGCTCAGGACTGTGAATGGAGAGATGAGCACAGGCTCAATGCTGAGCAGGAATTAAAAAAACATTTTACTTGTGCTTTGAGTTGAAAGTTGTGAAATTTCTTGCCAAACGAACGAATGGTCACCTGTGTCCACATTAGTCGGTGAGGTCAATCGCGACTGGGCGGTGAAAGGCCCAAGCCGAACAAATCTTTTAGGTCGCTCGTGTAATGCAGGTTTTTTTTTTAAGCATTGTAATTTAACAAGAAGATTCTCCCTTGTTCCATACGTTGTTGAGAATGTTCCATTAGGGAGATCAATAAACAAAACAGTGGCATCCAAGAAGATGCCCAACGAGGAGGTGGCAGCAATAGACGCTGCTCGTCTGCAGGTGGCAAGCGAAGCACAGGTGCTTTTGGCATAATTTTGTTTAAACGCAGACGTAATTTTCAAGCTTGGAAGAGTAAAACAAATACCCTCTCGGGGAGCTCTCTAATTTCCTCTAGTTGATGCCTTATTTCCAGCAGTGGCCTCAGCAACCGATTGCCTTTTGCTTCCATTCAATTTAAGCTTTCATATGATGAACGGGATACGTCATATTTTTTACATTTTGTAGTGCGCCATTCCGTCGCAGGACCGTGAGAGATGGCGACGGCTCGGGGAGGCCTTCATCTAAGCCAGTGGATAGATCACGGCTGGTTATGCGAATTGACTTTAACCTGCGATGAGGCTGCTTGGGTCGAATGCTCCGTGTCGGAACTCGGGAGCTAATACCCAGTAGCCCTAGTTGTTCTCTCCACCGAGATGGGCCATTGGAACAAAACAAAATATCGACGTTTGTATAAATGGCTCCACGTGTGGACTACTCCAAAGCTTTCAACCAAGTCGCCGGCAAACCGCGCAAGCAAAATGGTCTGAAATTAGCACGCGGTGCCTGTAGCCACACAATTATGAGGCAGGCCTGGAGAGTAAAATTAGCCGTTGTTTCAGTGTTTCTTATTCTTCTTCTTCTTATGTGTTTCGGAGATATGCGATTAAGCTTTGAAACGACAACTAATGTTCAGGTCACACAAAGTGCTCGCCACGAATAAACGGCAATGCCTTGGTGATCTCGGCAAGGACCTTAAACCATCATGCCAAACTCTGGTCATCTTCGCAGTGGCTTTTGGCTGCGAGCCATCGAACAAAGACGGTCACTGCATCGCGTGCTTTCAGATGCGCTTCTGCGGGCCGTCTGGAATGCTCTTGCTGCTTCTGATATCAGGAAACCACTGGAGCTTTGCACTTTCAAATAAGCTAGATTAAAAACTAATTTCCTGAGAATTGCTTTTTGTGTTTAGTTTGTTGTCCTTCCCCCGCACTTCCAAGTAACATGGTTGGCTATGTACAGTGCAAAAGAAGTTCAACATACATGCAATGCTTCAGGAAATTATGATGGTTTCTACATACGCACAAAGCCTGTGTGATTTTTTTGCACAGTATTTTCTGTGTTGTTTGAAATGTATGGTTTTCCAGCCTGCACTATTGTTCCGCTATGATGGAGTTTTCGCCTCATTTCCAGATTTGATCCACAGTTACATGTGGAAATTACCTGTTTTATTTCCACGTGTGTAGCTGATGGGCACTGGTCACCTCCCGATAACATCGGACTGCGCATTAAAAAAGGTCAGAGGTGAGCCATTCGTCGTGATTATTTATCCACAATTTTTGGCAAGGCGATGCGCGGATTGGTGCCGGCAGTGATGTCCCATCTGGGATCGGTGCCCAGAACTGAGTGTAGATTTGCCAGGAACGCTGCGTTTTGACGTTGTCTTCAGCTGACCATCCCCAACTACGGTGACATAATCAGCTAAATAACAAGAGATTACAGATACGTTTCCTCCTTTGTGAGAAGAAATAAGTGGCTTCTATATTCCCCGGGAAAACCCCAGCCTCAGGTCACAGGGCGAAACTTACTTATCGAATGTTATTTCACGTGACTTCCCACAGTCAAAACACAAGTTACATTTACAAAATATCTATAGCTAAAGGGACAAAAATAAAGCTTCTGGATGAGGTTACTTTAGACATCGGTGGCGAATGTCCTGTTGGACACGGACGCAAATAGATGGACGAGTCCCAAGAAAACGAAAGCCAAACATGGACAAGCGAATTCATTAAGTGAGGAAACGGTTCCATGGAGAATACATGTTATAGTATTCACCGCAACGAAACTCAACGTATTCCGCAATAGCACTTCCCTTAAAAAGAAACCAAATTTATAACAAGCAATATTCGAGAAATGGCCCTTCTTCACAGTACATAAAAACAAGGGTCATTGCCCGAAATGTCGCCCGTTATATACTTGTTTATTTTAAGGCAGTCCTATTCATGAATGTGTTGAGTTTATTTGTTATTTGTGCTCATGCGCCGCTGTCGGCGCGGTTGTCACAAAAGAATGCAAAGTAAAAGTTGAACTTAGCGCAGCTGATTTTTTATTAATGTATAATGTTTGACATCAATCAAACTGTTATAAAAAAAAAAAATTTAAGTGGCCTCGGGCAAGACACGCCGCTTGCTAGAAGGGGTCATGGTCGGTGGTCAAGAACGATGATTGAGCGGCAGCTGAGGAAATGGAATGCGTTCCTGAGAGGACACCTGTGGAGTGGTGAATTCAGCTCGTGGCGGAGGTGCCAGGTGGGGTATCGCATTAGATAGTGAAAGGCGGCGGCTGGCTTGGGGAGGGGGCCTTCATCCAGCAGTGATATTGGGGACCGTGGCTGATAAAGATGATGGATGATTGTGTGTATTTGAGACAACCGTTACGTTCTCGTGTACAATTCATATTAAACCGACACCGACCGAACGCGTACGCTCAAGTGTTGTTCGGCAGAGAAATATTAAAGACCAAACACATCTCAACGTAACCTGCATGTCGATTGTTCGGTGAGCATCTCTGTGTGAGCTCGGTGGCAACGTCTGACATCGTGACTCATCCCATCGGCTCACGGATCCACAGTTCATGGTGAATTATAACAAAGAGAAACACTTCTGAAGTTTCGATTTAAAGCTTTCGTGACTGCAATGATTCATCTTCTTTGGTTCTTTCGGTAAAGTCACGTAGAATGAGAATAAAATAATAAATTGATAAAATAAAATAACACAATAATATTCTCACGACGTTTCGGCCACAACACAAGCGGCCTTCATCAGGTGAAGGGACGAGACTGTCTGGTAGGACAGCGCTGGAGTGAAAGAGCCACGTTCAGATCACGGCCTTTAAGCTGTGTGAGAGGATGTGTATGCTTTAACTTTTAACATAACTATTTCTGTGACCAGTCACAAGCTAATCATTCAGCCATTTCAATGCTAAATTATATGCTAATTCCTTTGTCAAGGCGCTTTGTTCCTCTCATACAGCTTAAAGGCCGTAATCTGAACGTGGCTCTTTCACTCCAGCGCTGTCCTACCAGACAGTCTCGTCCCTTCACCTGATGAAGGCCGCTTGTGTTGTGGCCGAAACGTCGTGAGAATATTATTGTGTTATTTTATTTTATCAATTTATTATTTTATTCTCATTCTACGTGACTTTACCGAAAGAACCAAAGAAGACTTCTGAAGTTCCTTTGAAAAGTAAAATATATATACAATAAACGCTTGAGGAAATGCAGACATATTGTACAATTTTGTGCTGAACGAGCAAATTAATTTTTAAAGAAATATTCATGTAAAGATGTCACGTCCAGTGGAATAGAGGATGTATTAAATGCACGGCGTTTGAAACTGACCTCAACAATTTTGTGACATTGCGAGTAATATCGAGGATTAATTTTTTTCATATTTTTAAACGTTCCCCACAATGGCACTTTCCCTCGAACTCGGCGACACTGAGCCTTGCGGAAAAAAAATGAAAAAAAATCCACGCAAGAATGTGTGAATTATACACGTTGCATAACGCTGAATTCTAATATTTTAAGCAGATCCAATTCGGTTCTGGTTTTCTCATGGATTCCGCAGCGATTGTATGCTAGGGTCCCGACTCATGTAAACTCTTTGGCCATCATTCTTCCGTCGCTTATCCAGAGAAGCCTCACCGACCCTTAGGAATCCCATCAGACACTGTGATGCCCAATAACAACTGGAGCTGTTTTCGTATCGACTGGGAAAAAGGGGGAGAAGGGATGGGGGGGGGGGGCATGGCATTATTGTTGTCTGGCTTTTTATTGGGAAAAAATCACGTAAAATGTTCTAAACGTTTTTCACTGTGTACATTCAACACCTGTTTGCATATATATGTGTGCAATAACATGATTGTGTATACACATAGTCGTCTGTGTATGTATTTAGTGGGGAGCTGTCGTGTAGTGCTTTGCACGCTGCGCTTCGAAACAGACGACAAGAGTTCAATTCCCGCTCACGGCCAACACCAGTGACAATGATCTGAACCGGTCCTGGGCCTTACCCTAGGTCGACTCAGCCTGAAATGAATAACTGGTGTGGCGTGTAAACATTGCCACTAGGGAGACAAAAGCGGTGCTGGTCACCCACCCCGTCATGTGCTGTGCCGGCCTTCATAGGTGCTACTCGCTAGCGGCACTTGCCCCGACATTCTGTTAAGGCTATACGGGGGATCTTTGTCTTTGTGTTTGTATATATCAGTGGTAATTATCTGAACCAGTCCTGGTCCTCCCCTAGGTCAACTCCGCCTTTTTGTGCAGTGCGTGAACATGGAAGACAAAGGTGGCTGGGCGTGTTGATATAATAGCCCCCACCACTTAGTGGGCTTAATAAGCACTACGCTACCAGCACTTACCCCTAACAACGGCTCACTTGGGATCTTTGTCGTTTTTTTTCCCGTCGTTTTTGTTGCTGCCAATGCACGCGCGCCGGGGCCGCGTCGAGCGACGACTCACTTGATGTCGTCTTCGTTGGCGAAGAGGATTATGGCGCGGGCACTGGGCGTCTCCAGGAGGCGGTGGATGATCTTGTCGAAGTCGCTCGGCTTGGGCTCGTGCGGGATCTTTAGGGACTGAGCGATGCACACGCCGCCCGGTGGCTTTCCTGCCGTCAGTTGGAGGGGGGGGGGGGCGGGGTCAGAGGGGTGAGGAGGCACGGGGGTGAGAGACAGAGCGAGCAGAGTGAGAGGGGAGCGCGAGGAGGATTTGGGACGGTTGCAAAGGTTTAGAGCCGTCTGCGCGTGGGCAGCGTGAGATGGATGGCCCCTCGGTGGTCCAGGTGGGTGGCTCTGTGCCGGGAGACGAGGCTGAATGGAGCGCGGTGGCAGGCAGGAGCACGGGCGCGCACCCAGGGCCCCTCCACGCAGCGAGGTAACGCTTGCTCTATCACGCGCGCACACGTGCGTGCGTAGGCGTGGAGATATTGCAACTTAGAGCTCTATTTATAATGCGGGAGGAATAGCGATGTCTGCGCTAATATGCGCGATATTAAATTGTGCATGTGCTCTGCCGTGTTATGCCCAAAAGGCTGCATCGACCATTGCAAACATGTTGGGCGTGCGATACATCACAAAGGTCATTTTGGGGAGGGGGGGGGGAGATGTATTTTATTTGATAATGGAAACTGAAGGTACCAGAAGGTACACACCCCACACGTGCGACTGGGCTTGCTCTCAGCACTGCCATCTCCTAGCCACTTCGTAGCGCCACGCCTACAACAGTTGGCAAGCCCTGGACGGTCACCCATTCAAGTCCCAACTCGGTTCGACCCTCAGCACCTTCTGAAATCGAATGAGATTGGCCACATTGTATATATATATGTGGAGCTTCCTTTGGCCCGTACGTAGTCAACCGCACAAGCGGTTAATTAAGAATATACTGCACACTCCTCTGTCAATCCACTGCTGGATGAATACCTCCCCCATGCTGCGTTGGTCAGGGTTGGTGAAGTGGGGGGCGGGGGGGGGGGAGCATGTCCAGGACGGGTTCAGTTATTCTTGCCACTGATGTTCGCCGTGGGAGCGAATCGAACTCAAGTGACCGGGTGTTTCTCCCAACATTTGTATTTCACAACTTGTCCACGTGCCATAGCCACAGCAAATTATGTGAACCTTTAGAAATGTGCAAATATATTTTTTTATTAAATGCTTTTCGTTACATTATTAATATAAACGATTTTAACAAAAAAATTAAGGCTGACCAAATAATATTGAATTTCTACCATGTTCAGCAGTAATTTCAAAGACCAAAACATGCTGGCTGTATTACTCTTTCATTAAGTACGGTTGTTGTTGTTGTTTAACTCCACAGACCACAGCCAAGGGCGAGCCACAACGATTTGAATGCAATAATCATGACCGTACATGCACGGCCAGCGAAAAAACAACAAACCAACACCGGAACAGAATATGGCTAAGCCTACGATACATGTCAAACAGCATCCGTGGCCTGCCTGTCACATGTATTATGACTACGTGTTTCATGTTCTCTCTCTCTCTCCACGCAATCTGGCTAGAAGCAGTGCCATCTGTAAAATCGCTGCTGTCCGCCTGTCACTCTTATCGCGCGAGTGTGAGCCATGCATGGGGTTGCTGTGGTGCCGCTGCAGGCTGAGGACGGCCGGGGTACTTCACAAACATCGTCCGGCCTACACGGCGGCAGCGAGCAGGACGAGGAGTAAACAGACGAACGACGTCGGCAGTGGGACATCGAAGATCTGAGCCGGTCGGTAACACCGTTCACCACCGTGCACCGGCACCACCACCCGCCGGCACCACCACCACCAGCGGCGGCTGCTGCTGCTGCTGCAGCCGGCGATGCTGTCTAGTCGCGCGTGAAAGTGAGCGGACTCGGTTCTGTTCCTGTATAAGCCTCCGAGCGAAACGGCGGACACCAGTGCTGAATTAACACGCGGTGGTGCGACCCGAAAACGCATTGGAGGGAGATGCACAGCGCGACCGCGAACCCATCTACACAGGAGAATCAACAATGCTGCATGGTTCCTCAAACAGCATTCAACCACATCGCTCCCTCCGCTGTTCCCAGAAACGGGCAACGGTTCCCATGGACTTCAGTTAATGAATTCTCGATCCCTGCTGAGGACTCGGGTCTACTGTGTTCGATCACGACACGGCTCGCCCAAAAGCTTCCCTTTCACCTCGTAAGAATATCACATTTTGGTCCACAGCCAACGGACTTTCCAGACCAATGTCCTCAAACAACATTTGTTTAAGTAGGCAAAGTCCAGACTACTTTAGGACTTTCTGATGCTCATCATCAGCACAGTGTGACTTATCAAACGCCGACGATGAGTAGGTGGGCTTGTGCAGGACATTAATCGCGAGAAGGAATGGAACGAGAGCGAAATATAAAAACAAATGCCCCGAGAGAGGGCAGGCACTGAGGAGATGGAGCGATGAAATCTGCTCGTGTGCAGGAGCGAGATTTACTAGCTGTTCAAAACTGTGAGGGATTATATCAGCGTGGGAAGGCCTTAATCCAGCCGTGGATAGACCACAGCTCGAGATTATGATGCGTATAAAAAAAACGTCAGCAGTGCTTTATTTACCTGGCTGTCAGGCTTTCCAAGATGAATAAATCTCACCATGTTTATTTGTATTATTATAAATAATGTACATGACAATAATCCGCGGAAGACGCTAAGTCGACACCGGGCGAGGTCCTGCACCAGTGAGGTTGAGGTAAAATTGTTGATTTTTTTGCGCGTGAGAATTTTCATCAATATTTGTTTACCGTTGCTCTTGTTATTGTTGTTTGTTGTAGCCGGCGAGGTCGGCTTTTTTTAGTTTTTTTGTTTTGTTTGGACAGCAGATGCTGGGTGACGACACAGATCTGAGTGAAAACAAGGTGGCCTCTTGCCCAGCCCAGCCATACACCCCCCGTGGCCTCTGCCACAAACGACAGGGACAACAGAACTCCACCTCGCTTCTGGCCCCAATTCCTCGCAGCCCGAGCTGCGCGCACATCTCGCGAATAAACACCCACAGTTTTCGTACGTTCGACAACAAAAGGAAGAGCAGGTTCGCATCTACATTTATAGGTAAGATGGATAACTCCTGCTAAAGTAATAAGGGGGGGGGGGAATTATGGAGAGAATAACATAATGTTTAAAAGCCTCTGCACGTCTCCCACCAATATCAAAACACTCATTAAATATTTTATCACTCCCCTCTGTAACATGTGGAGCCACTGCGTTTACAATATTAGGTCACCTGTTGCGAAGAAAGTGAGACAGGCAGGAGGAAATCGGTTGGGTATCTATGAGTGGATCAACCTCTATTATAAAGACTGCCAGTGGGAATCCGTTAAGGCTTCACGGTATTACGTTACTTCGAGGGAGTTTATTTATCCCACAGCGATGCAGTGAATTATATTTAAACAATACAAGCGTAACAAAATAACCATTGCCGCGTTGGGATAGAGTGCTGGGTAATAGTGCAGTGCTGTCAACACGGTGACCTGAATCTCGGGCCACAGGTATCATCAGTGGCGAGCGATATCACAACCGATTATTTTGCCCGCAAGCAGCGATGTCCCAAGCCAAGCGGGGCCTGGCAAACAAGCCAGCATCGTCGTCCGTACGCTTCACGTCTCTCGGGCGCAAATGATTCACAACGATTCCGCCCTATTTTGCTGATTTTTTTTAAGGTATGCAGACTCCTAGTGAAACCGTCGTCGTTGTTGTGTGCGGAGTAAAGTTGCGCGGCATCTACATACATTGGGCTTGTGCAGGTAGAAAGCATTTATATTGGCTACCCGTTTGCTTCCTGCCCGACTTGACTCCAATTATGATTAGTGCAAGTTGGTGTCTTGCAACCGCGGCGCCTAACAGTACAAGCACCACGCAGGAGAAACGAACCTGTAGGAGGGTTAATTCGTTTTGCAATCTGTAACAAGTGCTGATGAGACAGACTTTGAATTATCCGTATCACATTTACTTATCTGCATTCATCACCACTTGAGCTTTTAATTCGTTTATCATTGCAAATTAGTGCGGCACGTGACCGTCTCCCAGTGTTACATTACACAACGGAGCGCGTTCAACATTTATCCGGTTTTTTTTGTTGTTGCCTTTTGCAATACCTTGTCTGATTCAATGCTGCTCTCTTTATCAGATAACATCTTCCAGTTGGGATAAGCCCAAGGAATCGATTTTTAAATGTTTCAGCCACTGGATAACTAAGCCGATAAATAGGGCAGTGCCGCAGCTCGGTTGAGATGAGCACTGGTGCAGGGAATGAATTGGGCCTCCCTGTCCAATCTTCCGCCCCCCTCTTCGTAACCCAGTGCCTGGGTCCCTCTGGCCCCTTCGGGCAGTCGCACCGCCTGCACAATCGATAGATGCTATCAATTCAGGGGGGTAATGTAAAGCAAGTTGTAGAACACACCACGCCAAAACGCACGAGCTTTGAAAACAAGGGGGATTGTTTATTTGTGATAATGATGGAGGGAGAGGGGCTTGGTGGCATCGTCAGGCGTGTCACGCTGGGCGTTGTAGGGGGTTTCCCACCTTCGGGAGGCTAAGGGGGATTGATCAAAGGAGGGAACGCGCATGGGACCACGTCTACAGCGGATGGAGCGATGAAATAATCCCGTGTGCAGGTGCCCAGGAGGGTTGCTGCGTCGCAGGAATCGTAGGATTGTAATGGCGATGAATTGTGGGGGGGGGGGGGGGGGGGTGGGGGGGGGGCTTCATCTGGGATTTGACCTGAGCCTGACAATGATGCGGCCAGCAATTGGGAGAGGCTGTGGGTGGTGAAGGCACGGGCTGATGCAGCATCTCCCTTGCTCCCCCCAAACCCCGTAGGAGGGTTCACGCGCCGTGCCACGCCTCACCCCGCTCACCCCACTCACCCCGTCGCCTCCTCCTCTGCTGCACATCGCTCTGGCACGCAGCTATTAGTTATTGATGAGGAAGAAGCCTTTTTATCCCGCACATGAAAAGGAGCGGCGCGCCACTTTGGCGAGCCCCCCCCCCCCCCCCCATTAGCGGTGGCGCTCGTGGGAGACGGCAGAGAGGCTCCACTCTCTCGCGGTGTCGGTGGGCAAGGGGGGGGGGTGATCTCCCAGCATCACGGACGGACA